GCCAGTGGCATCCAAGCGCTTGATTATCCATATTCTGATCAAAAAGGGTCGCGCGGCCCCGCTGGGAGTGATTAGATTAATGTAATGCGGGTTGAAGGGGCTGTGTGTTCGCTCTTCATTTGGGTCATTACTCGGGAAGCCAGCGTGGGCTCATTTCATCAGCATGCGGGGGCAGGGGAGCCAGTCAGGAAATGGCTTAACCCAGTGGCATCCAAGCGCTTGATTATCCATATTCTGATCAAAAAGGGTCGCGCGGCCCCGCTGGGAGTGATTAGATTAATGTAATGCGGGTTGAAGGGGCTGTGTGTTCGCTCTTCATTTGGGTCATTACTCGGGAAGCCAGCGTGGGCTCATTTCATCAGCATGCGGGGGCAGGGGAGCCAGTCAGGAAATGGCTTAACTGCGCCCTCGTGAAAGGCCCCAAAGGTGACCTGGAAAGTCACCGGCCCCGGCCCCCGGCAGCCGCCTTCCCCGGGCTTTTCCAGCGAGGGACCGAGCCACGCAGCGGGGCTGGGGCAGGCGAGGGGCCGGCCGAGACAGAAAGCGGCCCCTTGGGCAGAGGAATTCGCTCCCACCCTTGCGCCCTCGCTGGGTTTCCTTGCGCCCCTTCGCCTCCCCCGGCGCCGCCGCCGAGAGAACGATCCAAGGCCGCGCCGCCCCACACCCCGGCGCAGCGGGAAGGGGCAGGGAGAAGCAGGGTCGCCCCGCGCTGTAGCGCGATTAGACAAATGCGCAGGAGCGGGTGGGAAGGGATGAGTTCTGCGGCCGCGTTCCTAGGGGCGACCCGAGCCGCTGGGTCAGGCCCCGCTTCCAGGGGGCGCGCCCCCTTCTCGCGTTGGAGAGGGCGAGCGGCGACCAGCCAGGAACGAAGCAGTGAAGCAAACAGGTGATCCCCCCCCCCCCCATCTCGACACACTGAGTTCAGACTCGGGCCCTTTCCTTGGAAACGGGTTTTGGGTTTTTTTCCCCCCTTGCCGGTCTCACAAGGCTCCTTCGCATGCCCAGTTTTCGCTCTCACGCTTCTGCGGCTTGGAAACGGGGCCAGCCTCGAAAACAACACCACGCAGCCATTTCCCTGGCAGAACGCAAATCCGAGTTTACACGGGCCGCCGTGCTTGGGGACCTCGATCGAATAAGATTTTTTTTTTTACACCTCTGCCCGTGGTTGTAGAAAGTCGGAAAAAAGCCCCCTTACTAATTGACTTTTTATTATCCCATAGATATATTCCTTATTCGATTGTACATTAAAATTTTCATTGTACAGACATATATAAAGACGGCTCTGCTGGCACATAGTTTACAGAGAGGCCCTTGTGAGGAGTTAGGTTAAAACAAAACCGCTATTCCCCGCTCATCCCAAGACAACCAAATCCCCCGGCGCACAGTGGCAAAGGAGTTTTAAATAAATTTCCTCTTATATACAAATGCGGCTCGGAATTCTGTCCGCCAGCGCCCCGCTAAGCGGGCTGCGAAAACGGCGGCCGGGTCGCTGGAACCCGCTTTCGATCGCTTTGCACAGGACGGGCGAGTCCCCGAAAGCGGCGTGAATTAGCTTTGCAAACTCCGGGGCAGCTCTTTGGCCGGCAGCGCGCTGTCGTGGAGTTTCCGCACGTGCTTCTTTAAATCGAAATTCCTGCAAAAGCCTTTCCCGCAGGTGCCGCAGGTGAAGGGCTTCTTGTCGTTGTGCGTGTGCATGTGGAAAGTCAAGTTATAGATCTGGTGGAAGGCTTTGTTGCAGATGGTGCATTTGTACTGCTTCTCGCCGCTGTGGGTCAGCTTGTGGTTCTTGTAGTTGCCTGCCGGAGAGAGGGAGAGTGAGAAGAGGGGCAGGCGGTGACTCCCGGCTGCCCCCCCGGAGCCCCGCCGCCGAAAAGGGCCGCACTTGCAAGACTTCATTAGGAAGTGTCCTGCAAGGGAGTCAAGAAGTTGTCAAACTCGCTTTGCGTCAAACCCGGGCCGCCTACCACTGACACGATCAAAAATGAGAGGCAGGGTCAGCGTGGTGACCCCGAGCAAACGGAGGGGCCGGGAGAAGGACCCGCACGACGGCACCTCACTGCAGAAAGCAGCAAAGGGCCGCACTTGCAAGACTTCATTAGGAAGTGTCCTGCAAGGGAGTCAAGAAGTTGTCAAACTCGCTTTGCGTCAAACCCGGGCCGCCTACCACTGACACGATCAAAAATGAGAGGCAGGGTCAGCGTGGTGACCCCGAGCAAACGGAGGGGCCGGGAGAAGGACCCGCACGACGGCACCTCACTGCAGAAAGCAGCGAGGTAAGACAGCCAGGAACTCCCCGGCCCCGGCCATTGGCAGGCACCCGCCCCCGCCCG